TTCAGATTAAAAAGCACTCTTAGATAGTATAATGGATTCGAAAGACTTGCACTGTATTATATGAAACTTTCATAGGTTGGGGCTGAGCCCCCTCAGTTCGAAATTCCTGGCGCCGCCGCTAGCCGCTGCCACCGATGGAGCAAAAACTTTTTAATTTTCGAGTTGCCGCTGCCAAGGTGTCGGCTTACACCTCTAGGTGAGTGTGAATGTGGGTGAAACAAACTACTCTCACATCTACAAAAATCTGTTTAAGTGGATGATGATTTGGCTACCTTTAACGCTCACACTTTTAAGTGTGACTATTATTTTGTCCTTTCTCTATGTGTTGTATTTATTTTGACGCCTTAGGCTTTGCCCTTTAACTATCATCAGTTTTCGTTCTCTCGGATGGTTGACTATTTAAATGTGTGATTTTTATGTAATCGGTACGATTCATGATATGAAGAAATGAAAATAAAGCATAGTTCCATCAATGCAAGCACTTCTTCTGTCAGAATTCGTCACACTACCTATGTCGTACATTTTGTTGTCACTACCGCCGGTATACCGCGGTACTCATAATAACCGACGGTAGCGCTCATAAGCTTCGGTCCCAGCTAAAAAGGCTTTCAGAAATCGTTTTTTGTCAAATCCCGATTTATTTCGGAAAAAGCATTCGAATTAATCTAAAGCAAAACTATTTTAGAATATATTTTGCGAATTATTATTTTTCAGCGACATCTTTGATAAAATATTTGTCTGATAACGACTCATCAACATATAGACAAAGATTGAAAAGATGTACATACAATACAATATGCATCCTAGAATGAGTCTAGTGGTAGTCAATTCGTGTGACACGGACATCTAGTCCGTTCCTGAAGAAGCGTTTAGAGATTTCTCGAAAGCTCTGTAAGACAGCAACTACATAAATGTATCCTAGGGCATGTACTGAACAAAAGGTACCCGAAAAAGTACCCTGCTACTAGTATATCTTAGGAACTTTATGGTATTGGAGTACTTAAAAGTACTTTTAGGTACTCAGGCAGATATCCTTCTGGAAAGCAACTAATAAATGGGTACTTGAAGGTACTGATAAAGTACTCAACTGGATACTATTGCACAGTATACTTAGGTACTTTGTCACCAAAATTGCAGTAGGTTGATGATCAAACCTAATCTTCGAAATTTTTCATTTTTTTTCCCTCAAAACAATTTATTAAATTTTTTTCGATTTAATTTAATTTAATTTTTCAAATTCTTAAAACTCTAGCAGGTCAAATTTCTGGATCTAACCGGACTTGAGTTGGTCGAATCTCCATCCGACCACTTCAGGGTAGTCCGATCTTAATTTACGATTAAGTTCGGCATGATCTCGACTAATAAATAGTCAAGAAATGATCTAGAAAAAAAAATATGAAAAAAATATATTTTCTTATGGTTTACCGAGTTATTTATGAGGAGCCGTTCACACAAAAGAAAACGGCGAATGAGCAGTCGCTACACAAAACGTAACAAATCTAGGATATCTTGTAGAACTTTCCTCAGTGAAATTACAGGTGCGGGTACCCATACAAGTATTTGTTCAACGAAACATACTGCTATGGTTACCCAATGCAGTACCTACATCAGTATGGCTACTGAGAATTTTCTAAGTACCCTTAATAGGTACCCTGGTGTAACTTTCTCAGTATATGGATACCCTGAACTCAGTACATTCCCTAGGGTATTCATCTCTCTCTCCATAACTTAAGAAGAAATCAAGTTAAGTTAAATCTATACATATCACCGTAATTTTTTATGCTCAATAGATTTATTTTTCTTTTCCATTTGTTTATATCAAAAACAAAAAGCTCCCAAGAATATTGTTCTCTTTTTCTATTATCTATCTCCTTTAATCCATTACTTACAAATACCATATCAACAGAGACACATTATTATATAAAATCTATCCCGCTCAGAAAAAAATGATATTAAATTACAAAATTAGTAGTATGTGAAAGAGAAGGAAAAAACAAAGCCAAATAAATAATTGTACGAAAGTTATTTTAAAACATTTGGAAGATTTCAACCTGAGAAATAATTGAAAAAAATATTTGTAGACGGTTCGAGCTACAAGAAATTCACAAAACAAAAGAAATTGAGTACTTGAATGAAAATATCTGTATACTGTGGTAGAACCAATGAATTGTTGCAGTTGCAAGACAAAGATGTGTAGTTCTGTTTATGGTACCAGTTGATTCTCGAATAGATATAATTATTAATGAAGTGTATTGATGAATTACACGAGTGATTAGGAATGTATAAGCATAATAGAACTGATTGGAGTACGTACTTGACAAGCTGGCAACAGGAGTAGAATGCTGAAAATTTTCTAAATGACAAACTGATTTTAATATTGACCAGCAGCGTTTGTAAGCACAAATGATAAATATAATTAGTTTAAGTGCATTATGATTATTATCATGTTTCGTTTTCAGATTGACTGCAAGTCTTCAGTCCGAAAGAGAGCAGTATTAGTAGTAGAAATCACTACAATGAGCATAGATATAACGAAAAAGATAGCCATAGAGAATAATAGGTATTTTGAAAATAACAGATGACAATAGTTAAATAAAGAAAACACGTGTGCGAAAAGAAAAAGAATGTAACGAGTGAAAGTGATCAGACTATCAGAAGAACAATTAATAAAAGTCACTGCTCCAGAAGAAGAGTGGCGTGAGATTTAACTAGCATTTATATATTACTAGCACCTTCACAATATTTGACTGCAACAATTTGTTATAACATTTTTTGTAATTTAAGAATCCAACTCATCATACGCGTTTCTTATTTCATATGGTTTATGATCTGTTTCCATGATAATATCAGAGTTATCTGCACATGATCGAGTACCGTGTTGTAAAAGGTTCCCTAACCACCCAATACCAATATCAGAGAGGGATGTCATAATATCCACAACTTGGGTATCGAGATGAATACCCAGATAGGATACCCAGTTGGATGGACATCTACGTATCCTCAGAGCTGAGGAATTTGAGTGCATTTGGTGTAGCGAGAATGGGTATCCATNATGAACATGGGTATTCATTTTAGTATTCATTTTAGATATCCACTTGAATGGATATCGTGACTGGTATGTCGACGATACCCAGTGTTAGTATATTATGACATCTCTGATATCAGATACGTCAGTTATTAAAAACCAGTTGAGTTGATATGCAGTTTAAATTCATCAAATGAATATTGCTGTTTTCTTGTCTTTCGCTTTGGTAGTTCAGTAATGACTGTGATCCTTTCACCATTATGTTTTATGAATTTCAGATATTTATTAAAAGTACGTGAAAATATCAGAATATCATCTAAGCACACTGTAACGTAATCCTAGCGTCTATTATCAAGTAGATTGTGAATAGTTCTTTGAAAAATGAGTATTCCATTCATATAAACCATCTTGTGTAACAGAGGCCGTCTTTTTCTGAGGATCAGCAATATTTTAAATTAATTTATTAATGGTCTCAATTGCCGTAGGAGGATATTGGTTGTAGTTCATCAATGCCCTTGATACAGTGATAATTAGAACATAATGGTGAGAGACGAATAACTGGATCAAATAATGCGAATCGATGAAGCTGATGTGGTACTTATATGTTACTCGACTTGAAAGAGTGTTCATGGAAAAAAATTATTTATAATCAGAAGGTTTATATTATGCTATAAGTTGGGTATTTCATGTCAAAAACTACTTCAGATCTCATATTTAAGGCATCTACACAAACTAAAAAAGATAATCAAGAACTGTGTAATGGAGACTTTTTTATATTAAGAATCACAATATCGACCCCATTGTTCCCATTGTGTACGTTCGTTGTCAGAAGAAGACGTGGCAATCAAAGCTTGAGCCATTAGACGAGTATGTAATAGTTCAGCTCGATGTTGAGTTAAATGACGTTCATATACAGCTTCTTGACCTTTAATTCGTATATTATCAATGGTATCTTTTGATAGACTTTGTAAGTGTACAATTTCTTTTATTAATTGATTCACAGATGAACATTTTATGGTTAAAAAATGTTCATTATGATAAAGGTGAAGTCGTTCCAATATTGGTATCAAATCATTTGTTGTTACAAGTACAAGACCATTAGCTGGTAATTCAAATAATTTAGCAATAGCATAATGAACAGATTGACATGTTCCTAAACCGAATACATATTGTTTCATATAAGAAAAATATCTTCTTCCGCCATAAAAATATGAACTATCATTCTTCATTGTTTCACCATAGCCAGGATGTTTTAAACAAGCTGCTAAATCTTTTCGAATGTGACAAAGAAGATAACCACGTGAACGACATGGGTACCATTCAAATAAATGAGCACCTGAAACAAAAAGAAGATTTTCTGCTGAGCGATTTATTGTATGATATGACAATGATGATGCTGCATGAGGTAACCAAGTTATTTTTGATGAACGTATATTAAAATAATAATTATGAAAAATATATGCATATGTTGAAAATATTTCTGATGCTACCGATTGAAATAAGTATTGACGACTTGAAAAACTTTCTTTTGTTGTAAAATGAAGATCATCAATAAAAACTAAAATACGTATTTGAAGTTTGTCTAACAATGAAGACCACTGATGGTGCATTCTATGCCATAGAAGACTATTTACATCCCAAATAAGAATAACAATGGGAACTTTATTTTGAATATACGCATGCTCATCAAAATGACATCCATCTAAAAAATATCTTGTTAAATTTGTTTGATAATCAAATTTTATATGCTGTGGAAATGGTCGATATGTTATATTTGATTGAATACCGAGTTCTTTTAAATGTGTTAAAATTTCAGCAAATTCATGTGTCACATATGACCACCAGGGTCCACCATCAAGATGTTCAATAAGAAAACAGGCTTGTTGTTTTGAATATTGATGATAATATGCAGTTAACTTATCTAACGATAATGCTTTTGGATGGCAAACTGAATACGAACGAAGATCCATTAATATAGGCATATCCGGATAGAGACGACTCAATACTGATGTTGGTGGTTTTTCCGAATAAAATAATTTCGTTGTTAACAATTGAACAAAAATAAATAAACAACATGTGGAAAGAATATAAATTCGTATGTCACGAAATGGTTTTAAACGATAGCGAATACGTCGAATCATGAAATGCAATCAAACAAACAATATAGCATACATTAGATTGATTCGAAACAAAAAAATTAAAAAGAGTAACAAACCGATTTCGTTATTCTCACTTATTTTAATGCATCATTTATCACCTGTGTGTCATTATAATATATCGAGCATACGCGAACTGAAGCATGTTAGGTGAAGGACAAAACACTATTGCATAGCTTTTATTTTTTGAAGATTTGTAGAGCTTGTCCGGCTAACTCTGCTACCGGAGAATGAGTGCGTCACTATTTTTATGCATTTTGCTTTTCTCATTACTTTTGAACAGCTTACCAGAGAAACGAGGGTAACATCTTGTTTTGTTCACTAAAATCTACTTTACATAGTGTACTGTTCATCTTTCCTGTTTAAAATATTCTTTCATCTGTCTTACAAAAAAATACAACAGAACAAAAAATAGTTTAAACATATTAAGCATATGTTGTATTTTTTTGTAAGACAGGTGAAAGAATAGTTTAGACAAGAAAAATGAAACGTACACTTTGTAGAGCACATTTTAGTGAACAAAAATAAGATGTTGCCAGCGTTTCTCTGGTAAACTGTTCAAAAGTAATGAGAAAAGGAAAATGCATAAAAATAGTAACGCACTCACTGTCTGGTAGCAGAGTTAGTCGGACAAGCTCTGTATTTAAAATGAATTTATCAAAATGTTTAAGCAGACCTTACAACGAACTAAAATTTCGTTATTCATTGTCTATTATTGAGTATGCAGATGTAAATATATATATATATATATATATATATATATGTATATGTTTATACAAAACAAAAAGAACCACACATCTACTAAAATGACAAAAACAAACAACGACATCAAAATAAATCGTTCTCTTGTTTCGATGACTGGAAACTACTGACTCTTTGGTTTTATGTACGCAATATAAAATAGTGAGATATAAAGCATGTAAAAACAGACAATATTGCCATGAAAAGCTTTGTCGCAATGCGGCAAGAAAAAATACACAAAAAGATGAAGAAATTCAAATATAAGCAAAAAAAAAAAAGAAAAAAAAACCGAGCACTATCTGAATATTAAATATACAGTAGAAACAAAAGATTTCTTCGATGCAATCATTAAAACAAACAAAAATGAATTGATTATTTACTGATGATATTGATGATAGAGTGCGAGCGTTGCTTGCGTATCAACATAATCAGTATTGGCTACTGTTGGATTACCCGCTGACCAACTATCATTCGCTGAAGCCCATGCTGAGCCACCATTATTACTTGCATACGTTCGTCCATCGTTAGTGGCATTGCTAGTTGAATAATCTTGTCCGTCTTGATTGTTATATGTCAATGGTGATGGTTGTGTATAACGTGCTATTGGATTCGGCACAATTGCACTTGGATTTCTTGTATATGTATCATAGGGCAGTCGATTGTAATCATTCGAATTTGCAATAACCGATGTTTTATTTGTTGTTTGATTTGATAAAAATGTGACAATTATAAATTCGATATCATCTGTACATGGATTACAAAACGCATAGGTTGACACTTTCAATGAAACATATTCATTATCAATATTCGTACGAAAACGTACGATAATATTTGTTAAATTCGATGATGTATTTGCGAGATTTTTTTGTGTAACTGTTCGTTTAAATAAATCTTGAAATTTCATTTGATCTTCTATATGTATTTGATCGTAGAGTACTTTATGTAATAAATCATGACTTTTGTAGCCAATAATCGGTGTACAACGTTGATCAATAAATAATATTTCACTTGTATCACTATTACAGCGACATGTAAATTCTGTTGTTAATGAATTTAATGATGATACTGAACCGTTCGTTAAATCATTGACATTTGGTAAACATGAATTTTGTATACGAGCTATTGCAATAAATGCCATTTGACCATTGGTATTCGATGATGGAGATGACGATGGATTGTCATGATGTGCTGATGGATGATGATGAATATTTAAATTTCGAATATAACCACTTATATGAACTACTTCATAGAGCTGACCATCAATTGATGGGCCCAATGATGTACGATGACGTCGACGTAATATACATGGATTTATAAATGGATTTTGATGAGTATGATCAATTGGATTTGTTGAACCAACACGAAGTCGACATATAAATGATCGTTTTGAACTGACTAAAAGAAGAAAATGTTCGATGAAAATACGCTCATCAAATGTCTATGTTAATGAAGTCAAACTTGCCTGATCGAGCACCTGTAGAATGTGCATCTTTTTTAATTGTGCCTGTTTTAAGATCCAAAACTCGACCGTTTACATTGGAATTTCCATCTTGTGGTTGCAAATTTAATTGTTCACGAAGTTTTTCAACATCATCAGGATGAACGAAATCTTAAAGATAAAAAAATTTTCTATTATTATTATAAATCAATAGAATATTAATAATATTCATACCATAGAAATATCTTGAATACCAATCTTGGCATGTATAAGAAAGTATATGTTGAATAGCATCGCTTACATATATAACACGTAAATTGTCACAATTTAATGCAAATAAAAATGCATCGCATGATTCCACCATTAAATATTTTAATTCTTGATCATTAAGAAACGATGGTTTATGTAAATCAACTTGTTGCTGTTGAGACATTTGTGTGGAATTTAATGTTAATGAATTATTATTTGTTCGTAAATTTTTCATAAATTGTGCAGCCATACGTAATATTGTCAACTTATCGGGTTTACGTGCTAGATTTGAACATGCTGGAACCATGTCGCATAGTTCAGCAAAATAAGTTGCCATTTTTATACGACGACGACGTTCAATTTCACAATGATTTTCGCGTGCTTGTTTTTCTTTATCTTCCTCACCACCTCCTACGCCACCATGTGGATGATTCGTAGGCATTAAAACGTTTGGCATTGAAACACCACGTAAATAGCATTTATTTTCTTCGTCATCATCGTCATCATCATCATCAAGATCATCATCATTTGGCTAAAAAGAAATCAAATTCAATCGTAAGTTATAAAACTGTATTTAATCATAAAATATAGAGAATGGAATAATAAAAAATGTAAGTGGCCCATATTACTACCGAGTACATATTACATCATCGTGGTAAGACGCGAGAACATGATTTCGTACACTCGTAAATGCGCTCGTCGGACGAAGGACAATCGCAACTATCTCTAATGTAAAATTCAATAGCTGTCCATTATGATTAAAACGCACCTGTTTTCGTTTTGTATTTGCTTTAGTTGATAATGCTATTCCTGGTAGTCTTTCTGAATCAATTGTATTTCGTTTTCGATTCGTTGTTTTACGTGCTGATTCGATTGAGCTCGATGATGATGCAACAGATGGTGATGAATTATTAAAATCTGTATGATGTGGATGATTTAATACTGTTGTTGCAGTTGGATAGAAACCAGCCGTTGGTGGAGCATGTAAAAGTTGTTGTGTCGGCAATGCATGATCGTAATAGTTTTGATATGAACCTATACTTGATGCTGATGACGCCGCGGCTGCAGCTACAGCAGCTGCAGCATAAGCAACATTAGTATTTGGATTAAGATATGGATGTTGAATAATAGCTCCCGATGGATTTGTTGTTTCATCATTTGAAGTTATAACTTCATTTCCGTAATTTACAGAGGACATAATTGGAAACAAAAACCAAAAGAAAAAAAAACTAATTAATGTCGATAGAAGAACGAAAAACGGCTAACATCAACTTTATCTAAAATAGAAAAAACAAATTAATCATAGACGATAATTTTTCCTAATGAAAACAGAAGACATGTTGTTCCTGATTTTGTTTTATTTCTTTTTTGTATTTGTTATTACTATCATACTTTTTTTTTCTTCTTTGGCATTATTTTTCTTTTTTGGTAATCTATCACGGTTCTTTGGAAAAAAAAAGTTCGCACACAAAGTAAAATTTCATAGACGGTATGACAATATCGCGCAAGATATAAAAGAAAGAAAAAAGCAACAAATTAACGTTTTCCTATATACACCGGGCTGTTATTTTCTTTTTAGTTTATACGAAGAAAAATAACAATAATAATAATATGGATTTATCGAATATCTATGTGCGTGTGTGTGTGTATGGGTGTGTGTATATGAATTCATCTTGCGTATATGTCAGATTAATAATAACAGATATATTTAAAAAAAATTCTACGCTGTTTAAAATTTGTCTAGATAATTGGATATGCATGATAATTTGAATTGGACACAATAGATGCTTTAGTTTTTCCATAATGATTATCATGATCATAATTATTTGGATCATTCGGCGAATTATCTCCTTGTTGTCCTGTACCATTATCAACTATGGCATTGTTAGCATTGACACCTCCAGATGTATAATAAGGGTTATACTCATAAGCACCAACACCACCACCGCCACCATAGACTATAGAAAGTGAAAAAAAAGAGCAAAACATAAGGACGAAAAATAATAGTTCGACAACAAACCATTGGGATCTGCTGCGTAGACATTTGATGTTGCATGAGTAGCACCATAACCATAATGAGGATAGTATTCATTAGGATTGGCTGCATTTGATGGGCCATAGGAATATTGAGAATTCGACTGTTGGGAATATTGAGGATACGATAATGTCACTGAATTTGGAATGCCTACTGGATCAGAACCGCCATAAGAATAGTTTCCTTGATTACCTGATTGATTGTATTGATAACTATTCCATGTTGCATAACTAGAATTAAATATTTGATTTTTTTCAATAATTCTAACAATTACATATTATCTATGAACTATATATCAAAACCTTGCTCTGAATCACAGGGATACTTTAAATCAGTCGATTTCATTAATATCAAATGATGAAGTAGTACTTTAGCCTTCACTATGACAGGTAAGATGTGCACTTTCTTTAAATATTAGTTTAAAATCGTATTAAATCATTTCTTACGGATCAACATTAGAATAAGCATTAACCCCATATGATGGAACACCAGTTCCATAATTAGCATAGATATTTTGTTGTCCATAGGAATCATAAATTTGTTGATGTTGTTGTTGATTATTTAAAGTTTTTGGTTTTGCACGTTTGACGTCGACAGTTTTATCTCCAATCGTATGTCTTTGTAATCGAAGTACTTCTTGAGCTGATTGTTCATTTTGAAATGAAATAAAACAAAATGGGCGTCGTTCATTTTTTTCTTTATCAAATGGTAAATCAATATCTAAGAAAAGCAAATGTTCAATAGATTTTTGAGATTTTAGTTTTTCTTCTTACCATCAATTGTACCAAATTTTGAAAAATATTCACGTAATTGTACATCAGAAAAATTCGGATCGAGACCACCAATGAATACTTTACGATTATTATTTGATATTGAATTTGATGATGATGATGATGATGACGTTGCTGACATATGATTATTATTTGTCGCAGCCAACCGACGATGTGCAGGTTTAGGATCGACTTTTCTACCTTTGACAAAATGTTCATTTTGTGAAAGAATTTTATCGACAATATCTTTTCTATCAAAGACAAGAAAAGCGAAACCACGACTACGTCCTGTTGTTGGATCATGTTTAATTGAGCAATCAAGAATATTACCAAAACTAGAAAAATATTCGCGTAAATCATCTTGGGTTGTATCCCATGTTAAACCGCCTAAAACAAATGAAGAAAACCTCGTTTTTTTCTCGCTCCCTATGAATATGAATGAAAAAAAGAACTATATATATTACCAACAAATAATTTTCTATCATCTTCGGGTTTCTGACCATTAGCTTCAGGCATGGGTGATGTTTGCCCATCACCATTATTAGAATTAATTGTTGTCATTTGAAACTAGGTACAAAAAAATGTATTAAAAGTGTCAAAATTTCACTGATAGTGTTCAGTTTTTATTGTATCCATGAAAATAACTGTTCAAGATAAAAATACTTACATAGTATATTAAATGAATTTATTCGTTAATGTAAAAGGGAAGTTGAACTGAGAACTGAAAATTGAACAATGACAAATACTTAAGTCTGAAATAAGAAAATATAACAGCACACAAAAACAAACAAACGATAGAAACCTATTAATAAACAATGAAAAAAAACATTTAGGAAAGTTTTGTTTATTAAGTTCTATTCGTATCGATAAATTGTCTATGAAGATATAAACCGATTATACGACGGGAGATTTTCATAGATCGTTGATATTGATTAATGTATAGACATTGAGAAATATGTCAACACAAATGAACCAACAATTTTTTTTTTCATGGTCATATGTTGTCACTGTGTGTGATGGCCATGATAGAATTCTTTAATTGGACTCGCTTATGATGTGTTTTGTATAATTAATCAGTCAAATTTTCAATAAATAGAAATCGAAGAAAATAATATACAAAATAAAATTTTAATTATTTCAATAAAATAAATAATGTAACTTATGAGCCTTAATTTAATCAAGGTTAACACGTTGTCCGGTAGATGTCGCTACTTACCACCATTCGGAGTTATGTAGAGATGAAGAAATTGCTCATAAATAATCAGAATTTTATTTTGCGATATCGATTAAAAAAATGAAGCGTGCAATTTAAACATACGCAATGGACATAGGTTGTATTCATTTTTATTTTAGTTACAAATCAACTACTATATTTGTATATATATATATATATATCCTTGATAGATCTAGATTTGCTATTCAATTAACACAAATAAAACGTACATAGAAAAAGTAATATTCATTATGACCAAAAATCAAAAAGAAACAACTAATTCTACACAAATGCTTATATCAAAAAATTCTGATATGAAAGCTGTTTCAGTGTATTTCATAAAGTAATTAGGTGTACTTGCTGAGGTATATTGTAGGATTCAATGGTAATATAGTAGTATCATAAGTAGTTCGTAACTGTTTTTAGGCATTGGACGGAATAATACTAAAAAAAAAATCATTTGTAAATATAATTTCAGTAGAATAGTAAACATACATTAAAAGTCAGTTATATATTCGCCTTGATTCAAAGGACTAGAAGAAAAAGCAACGCATGCTTTAATTTTTATTTTATTTAGTACACTTACTTGATACGTGTAATATGATGATTCATAACTTCTTGTACATTAGCATTTGAATAAAGTGATATAGGTGAATTAAATTGACGATGAATAAGATTTGCTGGTGGTGTTTGAGTCGGTGGTGGACTATAGAATTGTTTTTGAACATGAGGATTTATTTGAACATTTTTCTGATAGGAAGGTATATATCGATCAGAATCATTAGTAAACGGTTCTTTCCATGATGGTTTATCATATGAATTCTGATAAGTTTCTGTTGTTGATATTGCTCTACTACGATTATTATATGTTGGACCTGGATAAACAAAACGAACTGGGGAATACGACGAATTCTCCTGTGAATTGAATCGATCCGTATGAAACGATGGTTGTGGTACATAGCCACGTGTCTTTGTTGATACCGATGGAACTGGGCCAGGCATCATGGGACTACCTGTTTGACTAAACGAAACACACACACACACACAAAATAGAAAACAATAATTATAAATGTTGATATAAAATCAATGCTCTGCATACCTAAGCAATGGTTTAGGCTCAGGTATTCTTTCCAGTGGTCGATTTCGAAAAAATGACTAAGAAGAAAAATTGAAATGAAATATGACATAGCAATTTGAAACAATTCTATACCATAGGACTAAGTTGATGTGTGGGCGATGACCAAGAAGTATTTAAATTTGTATTTGTATTTGTATTTGAATTTGAATTTGCACTTGACCATGGTACCGCTGACATTGAACGTTGATTTTGTACAACTGGTGCCTGAGGATGTAGATGAGATCCTCTGTGAAAACAAAAAAGACTGAAGATTAAACAAATATTATTTTTCTTCTGTTGTTTGAACCTTTCTATAAGAAATGCTATTTGACCACCAGCTTTTTGTATTAATTCAAGTGCATCTGCATGAATCATATAACTAATTGGTTTTTGATTTATTTCAAGAATAATATCACCACGTTGAAGATTTCCATCAGCTGGACTACCAGCAATAAGCTAAATTACAGAGAGAAAAAAAAACAAAATTTGATGTAGATTAAATTTTATTTTGGTTTTCGTTTTTATCTACTTTGTTAACAATAAATGGCGTTCGAAAATCAGCTCCACCTTGTAAACGAAAACCCCATGCAGTATGCAAACTATCTCGTTGTAGAGTAACCTTGATCGTTTGTGTTGTTGCCATTAGCTGCTAGTCGTAGAGATTTATGTCTAACACCCTTCTGTTTTTCCTATGTCTATTTATCATAGAATAGGAAATCATTCTTTTTTGCCGTTATCCCTATTTGAACTTTTCTCTCGTTGTATTTTCCTATCTAAACAACAATTTATCTCTTGCTGTCGGATATCCTTTAATCACTCCTATCGGATATATTATATATATATTGACTGTCTTCAGAAAATAGTACAACATCACATTGAGGATAGAAAGATAAAATTCATTTTCGTCGTTCTCCTCCTACTTTTATCAATAGTCAATAACGTTTGCGTTTGCTATCCCGCATAGATCGACTTCTGAGAAATGATATCATGTGCAGGATTAATAATAACAATAACAGCAACAACAACAATGAGAATGACGACGTAAATATATTCTCTGTCTCTCGCTCTGAGATCGATAATCTCAGTTGCACGTATCGTTTCATAGCTATATTATCAATAACGTAAATAAAACAATTACAAATCGAACTCAGTTAAACATCTTGTTATCTCGTATGTTGACTGTATGCATAAATAAATTCATCTGCTACTTTAGTCAATATAATTGATATATTACTCTCAATTGACTAATTAATTATGTTTAAAAATAAATTAGTAGAGTAAGTTTGCCATCTAATCAATAAATAACGAGACATTCGACATAAATGTCACCTATTGAATTGAATTATTCAATAATTCTATGTAAGCAAAAGAATCTTGAATCGATTTTCTAGTCAATAGAAAATATGAGGTAAGAAAGAAAAGCATTGATTTTTATTTTAAAATTAAAAATAAGATAAGTGAATCATAAAATGTTTGTTGATAGTTTTAATATACAGTTCGCTGTTCGGAAGAATTATTTGGATTTTGACTGTTTTAATCTAAGTAGATAGTTTTATTGTATTGTACAAATTGTTGAATTAGTTTCATTATTTAGAAGTATTTTGTTTTGTTCATTTCGTCTTTGATATTTATTCAATTTTATCGCTCGTTTCCAACGTAATCGACTTGGATTCAGAGTGCGATTATTACTAGCTTGATCGTCGTCCTGATTCAATTTCGATGTACTGCTACGGGCCAATCGATCAGTACGATTCAGTTGATCAGTTAGTGATGGTCGTTGAAATGAAATCGCATTCATTCGACTAAAGAATGGTGAACATTTTTGATTAACACGATACGAAAGTGAAGTATTGTTTTGTCTCAATGCCAATTTTTCATAATAGTCATTCCACTAAAGAAAAAGTAAAAGAATTGCTTTTTTCTTCCATCCGTAGTTGATCACGAAAAAAATAGGAGAGTTCACTAGTCATTTTTAACTCACATATTTTAGTCTGTCTGGATTATTTTGTTCAATATCATTTAGATATTCTTGTTCTTCTTTGCCAAATAAATAAATTTCCATAAGATTATCTTTATTTTGCATATTTGTTGGTTTTAACTTCGTTCCAGAACTAAATGTAATTGCTGACAAAGATCTATGAAGTCCAGCATGATCGTGATTGGTTTCCCATTTTCGACATAGTTGCTATAAAGAAAAAGAACAAAATTTATGAAACAACAAAACCAAAATATTTAAACTTTACTTGAATACTTTTTTGTTTTTGTTCGAGACGAGTATATTTTCTATGAAGAAGTGTTAGTTCAAGTTTCAATTTGGGATCATTCAGTAAGCTTATATTTGAATAATTAGAATGGATTGATGTATTGTCCGCTCGATTCTGTTCAATAATTTTTAATTCCTAGTAGAGAACAAATTTGATTTATAGTTTTTGTGGAAAACTGAATTTTCTCTATACTCGAGTTGTAAGCTTAAATAGATCAGTGCCAGATTTTTTCTCATCTTGTAAAGCAAATATTTGCAATACAATACAACCGTTATCAAAAAAATTCAACCAATTCTATTAGCAAGAAAATAAAAGTGAGATGAAGAAATTCATTGTCTAGAATTTACATTATCAATATTAGGTATGGTTTTAATACGTGATTGATTTATACGAGCACGCAATGCATGTTGGCATATAATTTTAGTTTCAGTAAATTTGAATTCATTATAAATTTTATAACGTATACGAAGGCATTTACTGTAATGTTCATCATTGATTTCAATATGATTTATGGTTATCTATAGAAATGTGTCTTTTACATAACATCGAAAAGATAATGATTTACTTTGAAATTGTATGGTTTATTAAGAAGTTCATCGGGTTGATCAATAAATTTTTCTTTCGTTAAAGCATCACCATTTGGCAAACATGGACTTAGATTAACACTAAGACATCCTTGTTCCAAAAACTTAAAATTGTTTTTAAAAAAATAATATCGAGATAATTCTAAAAGTCTATTTTATACTGCTTACTTTATGATCAAAAATACTAATTTCATCGGCGAAATCCATACAATACATCAAACTTTGAAGAAATACATTAGCAGTACCAATAAGAACATCCTCCAGTGGATCCCAAAATCTAATCAAATTATAGCAAAAGTTAAACAGATAACATTCATTTTAGTTTCTTACGGATCATCTTCTTTGGAAATGTATAAAATATCTTCTTTTCCATCGAGAAATTTTTGATAATGATCCTAAAAACAAAATAGCTTTTGAATAATTTGCTTTTCAATAGACTAATATTTTACTTTAATGATGTAGATTCGATTAAGAAATTTAACATCATCCCAAAACCAAACATTATTAGTAACAATATTTTTCATTCTAACCAACAATCTTAAAAAAATGAAAAAACAATCAATTTTGATGATTTATTTATGTTCTTCTTACTTTGAACCTTGTACTGGTATTCCTTCCCAGGAGGATAGTGGGATAAGAATAATTTCAAATAATCGATATTTATTAAGTTCTTCACTAATTAAATTAGCTTCCGAAATTAATGGTAGCAAATTTAAAACTTTTTGTTCAAGATCTTCTTGTTCAATCATTGTATTATCTGCCAATAATAAACCTTTTGCTTTCGCAATATCCTTTTGAGCATATTCCCATGTTATTATCTTCGATATATCCGATACAGATTCTTGTCCAACTAATGGATTACAAAATACGTATAAATGATTTGCACCAAATAAAATACGATCATTATGTTGAAGATACGCAATTCTAAATAATCAAGCGAACAAATATTAGAGCAATCCCTCGCTAATCATAGAGATATTCTATTGATTTACCCATTTAAATTATAACCGTTGACTTTAATTCTTGCCGTTGGTTCAGCTGGACTTAATTCATATTTGTTCATATCAATATGCCGAATAATAGCGTGCCGTTCAAATATACTTAAACCATTTATATATATTGTACAATTTCGACTACCAATGGTTATTTCGTCTGTACTTAAATAATGATAGATAACATAGGATAATATTGGATCTTCATGTAAATTAACAAGAAATGGATATGCATGATCGACTTGTGATGTTTTAAATGACATCAATGAGTATATCTTCTCTAATTGAGCATGTTGAAGCTACATAGAAAAATTAATTAGTAGAGAATGACTAGTAAAATGTTCCTCGGAAATAATCGATAGCACATGATGACTAAATGAAAATGTTACAGAAGCATGTGTTGTAAAACCCCTTAAAATCTTCAGTTTTTCCCAAGAAAGATACAAAAACTCAAATCTCATAATCATAGTCGAGTGTTAGCATCAACCATTTTCATTGCAATACCTTAACATCCCATGGTAATTTTGAATCTTGTAAAGTTTTTTCATTATTTTCAATTTGTCCATTAATATTCTCTTCCGTTTGTTGTCTAATTACTTCGATTTCTTGTGATGACATACTAGGTTTGACATCTAATTGTAAATTATAATTTCCTGTTTCAATTAATAATTTAAAGCGTTGATTTTCTTCCTATTATTAAGGTTAAAAATAAAATAAAGCTCTAATTTCTATTCAATTTACTTTTAATTGAAGAATAAATTTATCAAATGCAACTTCATTTATGCTGACAAAATTTTTAATACTTTTAACACGATCAGCAAAAACCAATGTGTTCAATGTTTCATGGTAATTAACGTCGGCAGGTGATAAAGTAGCAAGCATTATTGTTTTACTATTGCCTCCGAGTGAATTTTGAATTAACTTTGTTAATGTTGATTCTCGATATGGTACAAAGCTTTTTTGTTTTACTCCTGACGATCTATCGGCCAATGCAGATATGACATTTTCAAATGTTGATAAGGATCGATTAATATTTGTTCGCTCATTTAATCGATCACCAGATATTCCTGGATTAGTAAGTGTTTCTGAACCTTCAGAAACAAATTAAAAACAGAGAAAATAAATATTTATTTGCATAGTAAAATTATTTCTTACCAGCTAAATCAATAAAATGCATAGTACTCATTCGTTTTATTTCATCATCATCAATTTGAATTATTTGATCGAGATGAATCGTAACAATTGTGTGTGCTCGACTGCTTGTACGATTCATGTTTGTTGAAGCTATTGTTCGATTTTGTATTCCTTCGCTTAAAAGACGTTCAACATCTTCATAATTATCCACCGGTATAGCAAGAAGATCTTGTGGATAGTAATAGCCAAATGTTGGATGTTGTCGAACAGTAAGACCTTAGGAAATATTTCTTTATTCAATTTATTTTTAGATTTTAAAGTTTCTACGTACATGCGTTTGGCATCTTTTTCGAGAGTAAATCGCGAGCTTGTTCATTGTATACTTCCATCATTGATAATGTGACTTCAAAATGCTAGAATGAATTTTACATTCAAAGACTACGGAGCGATGTGGTGATGCTTAAACGGAGAAGCCGCGCGCATTGTTGATTTAAGCTGTTACTGTCATCTACTATATATACAATATAGTTTTGATGAGAATACTCAATTAGTGTATTTTTTATCACATGGTGATATACGTCTTTTAGCAACTTGATTTCGTTGTGTTGAAAAACATACAATTCTCAAAGGAGACCCATTGTTACCAATGAATCTCTTTTATGTTGGAAACAACATGCGATATTATAATTTCTCGTACGATTCATCATTTGGCTTTTGTTCTAAATATAGCAGACTAGTATTTTAGGTGACTGTCGATTTTTAGCATAGTCTAGACGTGAAGATCCCGATTTATTCTCAAAATTTCATAGAATTGTAATTCAACTATACGTACAGTATGAGAATCTTTCTTATTTTCAATTTCGTCGAATAATTCATCACATGTGATTGGTATTAGTCCCCTAGTGAAAACAAAAAACTCTATGATTATTTCTTATTGAATCAGATTGAATCTGATACCGATTAACGCCATAACCAATCATTGAATAACTTTTGCCAGATCCTGTCTGGCCATAGGCAAATACGGAACAATTGAATCCTAAGAAAAACAAAACAAAATAAAATCTAGCTCTTGATTTGAAATTCACTGTACCGCTGAATGCATTTTTCAATAAATCTCGACCGAAATCATCGAAAAGTTTTCGTTGAGAATTATACGACGATGAAATGTCATCACCTTGAAAGATTGCTGAAGGAGCTTGAATGAAACCATCATGTGACCTGAAACAATGCATTTTGAATTTCGTTTCGAAATCTCTTTTAACTTACCAGTACGTATAATCAAACGAGAACTATGAAATATAACGAAGGTTGTTAGTTCTTTTTTCTAGTTTTAATCAATATATGCATAAATACTCACTTGTTTTCGTTCGCCTATAAAAAAATTTGATAAAAGAAAAAGATTTCATAATTATTATTTACACATATTTCGAGACCATCATCTCGATTTCATTAAGAAAACGTTCGTTGGTCTCCTGTAGCCCTACTGTTAATTAGAATACATACGTGATAATAGTGGATCCATAATAGATATGGTTTTTCCATCCATGCCAATAATCGATTTCGCATGTCGATCCTTTTCTCTATCGATTATAATTCTAATGTTTTTTGGAAAATAACTATCTATTTACTTTACCGTTGATTGAATGGTCGAAGTCGTACAGCAACTTGAATCCTAGTAGTTTGAAAAATGATGTAAGCTACTATTCGAAATCCGAAATGCGACTTACAGTTCTTCACACATCGTAATTTTTATGGCGAGTCTCCAGTCAGAAATGTTTCAATATGATAATTTCTCAAGAGTGAACAACGGCGGCTGATGAAAAATGTAGAATATATATATGAGAAAGAGGAAAACATATGAAATCAGAAGAAAATACAATAGTAATAAAGAAAAATCTCATTGGTACTTTTCATTTTAAGAAACCGCGAATATTCTAACAAGAAGAAAAACAGATTTTCAGTTACTTTCTACTGACGCTATCGAGAACCCAAAAGCCTATTGGTAGATAATATTATAATTCTCTACAAAACATATGCAGAAATAAATATATTAAAACAATTCATTCTCTTCTTTTTCCTGAGCTTTCTCTTTGAAGTAAAAATCACGATCCAGAGAAAAAAATCGGAAACGATAACAGTGCTAGCATGTTTATATGTTGATTATAACCATCGGCAGTATACTAAATCATGAATGAAGAAATCCGTTATGAGAAGATTTAGCATAATTTAACTGGATATCAAAGGTTTCAATCATCAATTTCAGTCTACGGCACGGCTTAATAACTAGATCATCTTAATTGTATGAACTTTTTAGCAACAGGAGTATCTCTTGGTGATGATTGTGTCTTACGAACAAGAAAGACTGCGATGGCATACATGTGAAGAACATCAACATAGTATGAATCCTACTCGCATAGAAGAAACCAATGGAATGGAGTAGTATTACTTGATCTTTCAAAATAAAGCTTAATAATGAAAACAACAACAGAATGGTTATTCCGTATCACTACCAGAAAAAATTAGCATTACACAGCACGCAACCAGAATTCCAGAATAAAGCGCATGCCATAATCAAAGAAACCAGAACACCCAAAAAAATCTTTGCTTGTTGAGTTTTCCCAGAGTGGAACATACACATTTTGTGTAGCTATATGTTGATTTGTATATACGAATTGAATGTTCGAGATACAATGATGTACCTGTCCCCAAACAGTTATACGTATAGAGGGTCTTACTTCGCACACTTGTGAAACTTTCATGGTACCAGCACGCATGGCTACAGTCCAGTCAATCGTCAAGTACAGTTGCCAGCTAGTACTGTTGAGTGTACGCTGAAAGAAAATGCAATTCGACTATTACAACAAAGATGAAATGTTATTCTCAAGTGTATCAGTCATGCAAAGTTCAAATACTGATAAATGACTTCTAATTGTATCTCGATTATATTTATATAAGCGGTGGTAAAACATAACGGTTGGCGTAAGTTCTACGCCATCATAAAAGATTTGGTTTTACAATAAAAACGAAATTGTGATTTTCTCAAGTACTTGTCTCGAGTCAACCTAATGCAATGATAGAAAAGCCGAAGACAAAAAGTTTTTTTGCTGGTTTAATTACAAAAAATTGTTACACGATTTATAAAGAAAACAACCGTGCGAAATCAAATTTCAACGAAACTAAAATTGCTTTTTTAAGATACAAAAAATAATTCCATTTAGAATTGACTGTAAAAATGCTGCAGCAAAAGTTCCAAGTAAAATTCCATCAAGTATTCTATTGGAAGATTTACATAAATGATCATCAGTCTCATTTTGCATTACACTATCACTACATTTATCGGTTGACATGATTACAATGCCAATTCCAAATACAATTCCTAACAGTACACTTTGCCACAAAAAGTAATAAACAAATTTAAAGGAATATATCCCACGATGATAGCTATATAAAATCATAACATTTAGACCAAGTGCAATAAGAAGTGCTCCACCCCAAAATCCATAATAATAATAGATGATCAAATGTACTGTGATAAGATATATTTCTATGCCAATAGAAGTACAACCGAATACTATTGTAATTATTCCATTCAGAAATAAATAAAGGCGCATGTTTCTCGATATTATATTATCGTGATTAACGGACGGATTATTTTGATCATCATACACATAAGTATCGGTTAACGGTGGTCCTGGATAATTGTTAATCGCATTTCCTGATAAAGTTCTATCAACTGCATTTTCATCTATTTTATAAACAACCCAATTATAGGATGGTGGAGGTAATTCATTGTTACTGGTGGTCTCGTTATTGATGTCGTTTGCCATTTTTTTCTACATTGACACTCTAGACTCAATAATATTGTATATGTAATGTGATTTATTTTGTTGATACTGCTATATATTTTTTTTTCTTCTAAAAGGAAATCGAAAACAAAGGTATAATTTGTATGAAATCAATCATGCATCTTTATAAATAGATGAAATATGAGACTGGCGTTGTACCGATAAGAAACAAATTAATGTAGGCACCTTTTTATGTACATAAATAATAATGTAATGGCGCTCAAACCCAGAACTATAGATTAAATTATTTGATTCAATTTATATAATGATTGTTGGACGATATTCGTTGGTGTTGGCGGAAAATAGCGAAAAAAAAAGAAAAGAAAATATCCATATATGAAAGTTTTCTTTGTCTTTCCTTTGCTATTTTCCTTTTCGCTCTTTTTCACCAAGTTCTATTCGTTAATGAAGAGCTCGTTTCTATAATTTATGATTAATCTGGATGGATTGTGAAAATATGTCAACGAATAGATAATTTCGCGGATAAAAATGGCATGCACACATCTCGCCTATAAAGGGTAGACTTTTAACAACCGCCATATTATATTCATTTCTTAGAAATTTTCAAACAGAACGCTCGAATTCGATTTCAGAAACAGAGTCGAAATACTTGAATATTCAGATATATCTGAACTCTTGCTTTCATTCTAAACAGTTCTCTAGCCTACACTAACATAATTACATCAAATCTGCTGATTTATATGAAACAAATAAATTACTAAAGTGGTATCTGAAGATGAGGACAACAACAGTTCGTCTCATGTTCATAGCGATATCATAACAAGCATATTTAAAGAATACCGTCAAGCTGCACTATTTCTGTAGCAATATGCTAAGAATATAAACTCTTTCAACGATATTGGATATTTCGTTTGCCAGAACGAATTTGAATAACGACATTATTTTGTTTTCTTGCTGATAACTCATGTGCCGGCGTCACCATATTGATTTTTACTATTATCAACAACGCATCTTGAAATAGTTCTCACAATGGATACTATTTTACTTTTATCAATTTCTCGTGTCAACAAAGGTGGGCGTATCCACTGAAATGTATTTAAAAATTTCTTGAAAAGGACCCATGTGCTATTATTTTTGTATGAATATATGCCCCCTGCAGTTAGAGTTAACCTAAAGGTTATACCTGACTGTATTATGTTGATCTTTTTAGATTTCCACTTGATTAACTATCCACAATGGCCTCATCTTTATTTTCGCTAGTATTCCTCTTTCTCCTCTCAGTATTTCAAATGAATGCTACACCTGCACCAGGACCTGACAGTCAAGGACGCAATTTAATTCAATTTGGTAATATGATTGGAAAAATATTAGGTGCATCGGCCCTTAGCTATAATGGTTATGGCTGTTGGTAAATAATATCAAGCAAGAAACGTTTAAATGAGAAAATAATGACGTTCTGTTTCCTTTAGGTGTGGATTCGGTGGCAAAGGTGAACCCGTTGATGGTACAGATGCCTGTTGCAAAGCTCATGATCACTGTTACGACGAAATAATTAATAATCGATCAAGTTTTTTCTCATGTTCACCTTATATCAGTGTTTACAGTTGGGATTTAGATCCTATAACTCTTCTTCCATATTGCAAGAATACACCAGGTTCATGCACACATAGCGTTTGTGAATGTGATCGTATTGTAACTGAATGTTATAAACAAAATGCTCATACCTTCGATAAATCTTTGAAATGTCCGAAATAAAAAATAGAACAACATACTTTCTTTTGATGCGATTTTTCTCACGATGTTTTGTTTCCCGCAATAGTACACTGTGGCTACAGTCGTAAATATAAAACAAAACATTGATAAATCATGATAAGACCAATCGACTTTTTTATGATGTTTTTGAAGGCCAAGCAGAAAATAACTGTTAAAATAAGCTTTTTTTATTACTTGATTGTATACGCTGATATGATCTTTTCGATGTGACACACTAATTTGTTAATTTATAATTAATAATTTTCATTAGTTTCGACCCTCAAGACACAGAATAGCATCATACACATATTGTGTCACGTTTTTTGCTGGCTTTAATTTACGCAAACTGATTATCTTAATTATTTAAAGATGGACAAATCTAGGGCAATGAAGGAATATATCCCACCTTTTATTTGATACTTTTTTATTGTCAAATATTAAAGCTATTAAATCTTTGACAAAAAGCAAATGACCCATTGTTTTTAAATATTAATCTTCACGAATAAGGTTCCAGTTTTATGCAGCGAAAATAATAATAAGATGACAAAAATTTTAATAATGAACGCTGCTTATTCAAATTAATTATAGCAGCATCATTACTAGGGGTGTAACAGTTCGGTTTTAGATCCGATCTGAAGATCTGTCTGAACAGTTCAGATCTGATCAGAAGAAATGCCCAAAAAGATCAGAGGAATTTTCTGAACAAATGCATGGATCTGAGATCTATTACGCTCATAATCATTATTCTCATGCAGGAATGTTCCAAATGGAAAAATAATTGTTAAATTTCCTTCATTGCTCTTGGTTTATTAATATATTTGAGCGTAAAGTTTCTTTTTTCAGAATTGTTTTTAGCTGAGTATAATGAATTTCAAGAAACTACACTTGTCAAATAAATCGTTTAAAAAAATCTCGAATTTTTCATCGTCCAGAAGTAGTCATTCAAATTGCATTAGAAACATATTTCATGTTCACTTATCAGCAACATTTCATCTCAATACACATGGTTTTTCTTTTCCAATCTCGGAACACTTCTATTCCCCGTAATTCACTTAACAAACATGATACAATTGAATAATAAAGTCAATCACGTACTCTAATAAAAATTCTTCATTTTATTATAACTAATATAAAATAAAAAAATAAATGGCATTTTTTCATAAAGTATAGCATTCTCAATTGAATAATAATAATAATCATTATGAATTAAATTAAGCAAAGCACACACCGGATTGTTGTGAAGAGAAGAAAAAAAGAACAATAGAGTTAGAATGAAAAAGAAGCAGAAGAAAAAAAATTTTCATTTCATTGAATCATCCCAATAGTAAAAGCCAACTAGAAAGAAAACAAGAACTTCTGTTAAGTTAAGAAGAGAATATTATCTGGCAAGATAAAAATAAAAATAAATAAATATATTTTTTAAGGGAGATTAAAACGACTTAAGATTGGCGGAACATATCTTCCTGTTCGCAATGCATTCAATCTTGATGAGGGATATGGCTCATGTATCGACTCATAAGGCTTAAATGCTGTTGAAGTAAAACGACTTGGTTCATGTTGATCTTGTAAAAATGATGAACTATTATAAGTACTTGAGGTGTTTGTTAAAGAATTCAATGGGCGATATGCGTTAGTATTATTATTATTATTATTTGAATAACTCGAAGAAATTCTTGAGTTTTGATTCGGTACTGAGTTTGCAATTGAACGACTAAAAAACGAATTTGGCCTTGATGACAATGACGATGATGTTGTTCTATTTGTCACTTGAATAGGAATTGTAGTTGTTTGTCGACGAGGACTCATTGATCCTCCTCCTATTGATAAATAAATATCAGGCACCGAACCAAACGATGTTTCAACAAATGAAACCGAAGTAGAGCCAAATAGAGATTTTTCAAAAGCAACTAACTAAAATAATTATATTGCATATGTGAGTAGTTTTATTCTTTATGAAATATTTTCCTTACTTGTTTAATAAAACCAAAATTAGGTCCAATGATTGGTCGACGTGAACGCAAGTAATAAAAGGCTTCGCGTAATGACATTTGACGATATTTCATTAGATAGGCTAGAAACAAAAAGAAAATATGTTGATAAGATTTTGAATGCACCGAAGAAAAACAATATTCAGTGTAGATAAATTTTTCGTTTTTTTTTTTTTTTTTTTTTGACAATGAAAAAATGTTAAAGTAAAATTAAANTGAATGATTGCATGCTTCATTGAATGTGATACGCATTTGTATGCTTTTTTTTTAATTTGTTTTCGAACGGCAGATGCGGGACTTCCAGTTTTTTTTTTGACAATTCTAAAATGTTAACTGAAATATAAAACACTTCTCTCACTGCGATACGGAGTTGACAAGACACGTAAATGATAGAAAGACCTGCCGCGTTGAAACAGAATTTCTTCTTTAGAGTCTTTTTTTAATAACAAAATCATTTAAAACTAACCTAAAATAATCGATGCAGATCTTGATCGTCCAACATAACAATGAACAAGCGTCTTTTTTCCTTGTCGTAAATGTTGATCTATACGATCTGCTAACCGATCAAAGTAAGGTTGTATTGACGTTGTTGGTAAATCTGATATGCTAACTTTTTCATATTCAACTGATGGGCCAAGATCTTGTATTGGGCATTCTGATGATATGTTAATAACCGAGCGTATACCTTTATTATATATCGTCGCGGATGATTCGAGACCAGATATGTATAAATTATCGACAACTTCTGTAATACCTAACATAATGATTAATTTTTTGTAACAATACAACCTTCTAGAACAAATAAAAGCAAACATGAATTGTTATTTTATTTTGGTGCACACCGAGAAGAATAATATTTGGTTTATCAACAAGATCACATAAGAAGAAGAAGACCAAAAAAAAACTGGAAGTCACGCATCTGACGTTCGAAAACAAATTAAAAAAAAAGAATACAAATGCGTATCACATTCAATGAAGCATGCAATCATTCAAATATTAAAACACAACGGGCATTCGATTTAAGGAACAATTGGTTTAAAAAAACTTGAGCGATAGGTTGTTTCAAAATTTAAGCGTTGATCTTCACTATTTATTGTTGTTGCTGCTGTATTCACAGTCACAGTGGTTGGATGGTGGCGTCTATGATTTACTGGTCGTTGTTTTGCATTCGGTGAACCATTTCCACTTCGATTACTAGCAAATGATGTTGATGATGTACTTGGTCCAGATGGATTTCCATGATTATGTGATCCACCATTAGAAAGTGAACGATTGACACCAAATCGTGGTGGATTTAGGAATGTTTGTTTATTGTGTGTAAATATGGGTGATTGATAAACTGAATTGTTAATATATGTTGAAGCAGTAGCCATTGCTGTTCGACCATTTGGATTTACTGCTAAAGACCGTGATCGTGCAAGACCAGATGGATTGTTGACGGATGTTTCTCGAGCAGTTGGCCGAGTTTGATTAGTAACTGCATCACTGATGGCACTACTGCTAGTCGTAGAATTATTACTACTAGAACTGAAAGATGACATAGGTGATTGCATCGATGAAAATTGTTGTTGAGCACGAAATTGTTTGATCTCTTCATACGCAACATCGGGCACATTTCCAAATTGAGTTTGTATCACTAAATAGCCAACGAAGTAAATTCGAAATTTGGATATGCACAATTTTGATAAAGTCAAACGACGTTTTTTTTCTTGGGGAACTCAAATTTAAAATAGTCACAACGTTGCACTATGAAGAAAGCGTCATAGATCTATAGTATTAGTATTCGTTCCCCCGTCGTATGCGTAGTGAGAGAAAAAAAATGTGTTCATGAATCGAATCTTTCAATTCTAAAAGAAGCAAATAGTAGATGTAGGATTGATATAATCTGCTTTTGTCCTTAGAGAAAGTACGATCTTACTGAGGATGCTATCGCACGAAGAACCTCAGACACTAGTTTGACGTGACTTCTCTCAAGTTAGTACACCGCACCTATTCATTTAAGTAAGTTGAAACTAAAGCTTTGATCGTGAAAACAACATTTCGACAGTACTGAAAAATAACATGTTTTCAGGGTGTTGCGCGACCTCTACACAATCGTGACAATCAAAAAACCATCGTGCTCAACTTTGCGGAAATAAGTATCTCATTAAAAAACAGTTTAATTTAATAGCGCTCTATTTTTTATTTCTGTTTCGCTTATTCTGAAGTTTTTCTTCTTCTAAATACATCCTGTCAATTCATAAAATGCTCAACTGTTCTATGATATAATGGTATCAATCTATACCTCGATGATTGACTGATTTATATTGTACCTGTTTTTTTTTCTTGTTAAAAGGTTGAGAGAAAAATATTCTCATTTCTATTCCGAAATTTGAAACATCCAGTTGTGTTCTGATTCTTAAAAGTTAATACAATCTTACGCAAAATTTATTTCTAACAGCAGAAATAACAGACAAAAATCTTTGAAAGAAACTGCTAAATCTATTTTCTATGTATTGACTCTATGTTATCTCTTATCTATATGTAATGATGAGACAGTCATATAATAAGGTTATCATAACTTGTTGTGTATTCGGCGATCCACCTCCAGTGTTTGCTCAACTTTTTAAACCGATTTTTGTAAACACCATACATACTCCTTTAACTTTTATTATTTGAAAATTTTTATATGTAAATAACCTACGGTGTAAAAATCATCCGCACAAAATATTTACTCATTTTTCTGTGACTACAATACATCTGTTTAGAGTCAACAGAGCTCGATTGTTTGTCTTGTGCATTTATGATTCCTTTCTAAGATAGGATTGAATAAACATCATTGGATTGTTTTAAAATATTAAATGTAAATAATACTCTCGGCATCAAAATCTACGGAATTAAAAACAATTTTTCACTCACTAAGTTTTGTATGTGAAAGTTCAAAAATGAATTTTCTACTATTTCGTCATTCTATTTACATTTTGTTTTGTATTATCAAACACAATCTAAAATGACTTCTGGAGGGTAAGGAGACAAATTTGGTCTCCCCCGCAATGCGTGAACGTACACTAATAACATCTTGTTCTCATATATATGGTACTTCTTTATTACAATTCTCAATGGCAAAGAAATGTCTCGTAAAGGAATCCCCACTGTGATGATGAAGAGCAACATCATCGTTTTTTGATATTTTAATTGAAAAGGCAGCCGACTGACAGCTTTCTAGTCTATTCCGTAAGATAGATTTTTAAGTAGTTTTTGATTAATGTCAACGAGCTATTATTTGGTTGAAACAAATAGATGAAACTGTTATACCGGACTAAACGTCTATATTATAACAAGATTTTCGTCTTATAGATCAAGTATTTAAGTGTAGTAAATTAATATTCTTACTTTTAACACTATTTTCCTTTCTGAGCTGATTTTCATATGTAATAAGTTGACTCCAGAATCCTAAATTTGGAAAGCAAATTGGACGATTTTTTTTACACAATAAATATGCCTCTCGTAAGGACATATTCATATAACGCATTAAATACGCACAAACAATTGTGGCACCTAAAATCAAATAGGAACTATAGAGAAACAAAAAAGGTATTAAATCAATTTCGAATTACTTCGACTAATGCCAGCCATACAATGAACAAGTACTTTATTTTGTTTATTAGCAGTAAGATGAGCATGAATTTTATCAGTTAATGAAGGAAAATAACTACTTATTGGTGCTGTTGGAAAATCAATTATATCGAATTTTTCTAATTTAATATTTTTCGGATAGCCAATAGGAGCTGATTCAACTGCAACATTCTTTTTTATTCGTACGAATAAATTAATAAAATAAATTGTGAAATACATTTATAGGGACTCACCAAAATATATGATATTCCCAATTTTTGTACGTGCTCAATTGTTGCTGCCATTTGGCCTAGAAAATAAATTTCAAAATATAAAAAAAAAAGTCAATCGAACACAATCAACTAGTAAACCCGAAAGAAAAATATTTGGTGTTATTTCTGATATTGACATTAAAAGTGTCATCCGATTAAAATTGGCCATTGACGCTGAATTCATGGAAGTTACTGCCGGTAATACTTTTCTATTCATTTGAGATTGGAATAACTACAAATAATTTGAATGTTGCATGACGAAAGAGAAATAATGACTATGTCAATTTCTAAAAGTATAAATAAATCTTTGAAAAACATCGAGAGGATTATGAAGAAAAAATCTGCTCTTTACAAAACAACACAACTCGATTTCGCGTTATTTGGCAAACTCTTGACAGAATCACGTGTCCTAGTAACAAGTAGCGAATTAAAAAACAATATCGATTCAAGAAAATCAGTCGATGAAATAAGAAATTTTCATCTGTGCCGAAATTCCACTGCTTCATATTGACAGATCATGCTGCTAATTAATTAAAAAACAAGGCTTACTCGCATAAATATATTATTCGTTGGTTTTCATCCAATAAAATTCTTTGGTTTTCTGACAAAATGAATCACATTTTTTTGCGTTATTTTCTTTTCTGTTGTTATACAACTGATCTGTATGTCAAGTGTAGATGCGATTTTATTAGTTTTTTTCCTCTTTTACTTCAAATTTCCATAATCCACTTATAAAACTAAGCATAAATTTTACAAAAAAAAACAATATAATTGACTTATGTAATTTCATTTATCATGAATTTAACCCATCACAATTTATCCGAATTCCTTTTTCTTTTCTTCGCTTCTGCTTGTTCTGAGCACTCGCTCAATGAATTGAATAATATGAATCTGTAAGAGAAAATTGAACCTCGATAGGATTTCTTTTGATTGGTATATCATATATCGTAAATAATTTTTTTCTTTTAAAACTAAGTACACATCGATTTATTAAGATTAAATAATCACCATTTTTTTCCTTTGATGCATTGTTGAATGCTTTTGTTGTAGATGATGATCATTTATTTCTTCTTCTTCTATTTTATTTTCATTTATATATATATATGTATGCATATTTACATATGAATGCCATTCGATATTCAGTCAATAGGCATCTCAATGACATTTTCATGTTCGTACCGAAGAATTTAACCATTCACTTTCTGTCTATAAATTCCGCCTTCTGATACAGATGATGAAGAAGAAGAATTTGTTCAGCTCGATATGTGTTGCTCGAGGTTGATCACTTCTATGTTGTTTTGTTGGTCGACTTCTTATTTTAATCAAGCGAATGATAATCGCTTTTGGTCTACATTGTTTGTTGAAACAATAATATTGCCTTGATCAACGAGCACCCTCATGTACGCTTACGCAAGCAGCCTGTGATGTATGTGACCTTTTTGTCTCTTGCTGTCGTGTTGTTAATGTTGAACATGCCCGAATGAGAATAAGAATATAGCATGAAAACGATTTTATATAAATAACGCCAACGAAACGAAGAAAATTAACAATAAGTAAATGTGATTTTTTCATTATCTATTTTCCTTTTTATTTCTTTTTTTGTTCTCAGCCGTAATATCGGGTACATATCATTGATTAATAATGCCATTATTACTGTCCAAAACAGTTTAGCCTTGGATAATGCTCCATGAATTGCCATAAGTACTTCCAAACAACGTAGTGATGTTATCCTTTTGTCTTGATGCTAATCGCCCACAAGTCATATAGAAAAGAATTATTGCTGATTCTGATTGACTATAACAATGTTCGATTGAGATATTTGTACGTAAATCTTGATTCATATTATATCTATTAGGATGGCTATTGTTGATACAAATTTCTCTTTTTCTCGCCTCACTATTCTTTATCAATATTGCTGCTTTTCGAAGGTTCTATTCATACATTCTTGAGACGACAAAATGTAAATGTAAACAGTGCGGTAGCTCTTTTTTGTTGATTTTACATCAGGCTAACTGAGCCGTCCTTTTTTTGTCAAATCTCTACCATTACCGTCATTCTTTCATCATCCTCACCATCATCATCAGTTACTACATCAACAGAGAATAAGAGCATTATAACTCGGTCAGGATGCACTATTCTGTCCCTCTCTCTCTCTCTCTCTCTCTTGTTGAATGAATTCAGCTTGTGTGCACACGTACATATTCACGAAGAAAGGAGAAGAAGAAAAAAAACGGTGAACCGTGTGCATGCATACATAGTGTATGGCAGTAGGCTCTATATTGTCCCCTTAAACATTCATTTTTTGTGTGAATTCTTTACTGCTCAACTGAACATCGCCGACAATCGTGTGTTTGACATAGATTTATATAGAGAGAATAGAGTGAGACAGATGAAATCGATTCGTGATCGAAAGATGAGACAACAGATGTGATGATGATGATGACTGTATAAAAAGTAAAAGTGTGTGCATACAAATTTGAATTAATGTATGTCTCGTGAATAGACAAAAAGAGACAGGTAAAGATAATATGAGAAAATGAGATACTATAAAAAGAAAGACAGACAAGTGATGTTAATTGTCTTACCTACTATTAAGTTATTTTCATTTTCGTTTACGAACAAAAGAAAATTGGTTTTTCGTATTTCTAAATGAAGGGTTTTTTATTCTTCATCAAAGAGATAGCCAAAACAGATTCTGCATTGTTTTATAAACGATTGATTTCTTTCCACAGAGTACAATGTGTATTCTCATTTGTATTGATTAGACAGGTTTTTTTATTAAAAACATGCGTGCGCACAGCTGGTCTGTGCCTCATTTTGGAATGCTAAGGAAAAAATAATCATAGTCAAATAAGTATGCGCCAGTCTTCTTTATATTTCTTTTTTTTTGTTCATGCCTCTCGTTAGCCTTCGATGTTTTCTTTCGTTCATTTTACTTATTTCTTCTTTTTTTTTAGATGAATAAGTTCTGAAGACTATTTATATGCAGTATTACTCGCTGAGAAGGACATAATATAAAAAAATCTAACAATTAATGATGACTTGAACATCATTTGATTGGTATGTACATATTCGAAATAGGCTTGTCAACTGAAATTTCTCATTGTCAACACTTCTAATAATATTATTTTATCATTATAGAAGTAATTTAAAAGGAATACTTTCATGAAAATAATATGGTGATTTTTAATAAGATCACTCTTTACTCAATTATTCTATTAATTATTTGTACATATACACAACACCTTTCATCATAATTTTCTACGCCGATTTATTATACGTAGATATACACTATGGATATCTGTACCAAAGCGATTGTGTCCTGTTTTCTTTCTCTTCTGTGTGTTCGTCACAGTATGCACGTATTAGATAAAGTAATACAGTATGATAGCGAACGAACGAACCGAGCGCGAGTGGTTGATGCCATTATTTAGGCGATGCTAGAGACGACGAGTGCCCTCGTCTCAATACAAAAATGAGGGATAAGGAAGGGGTTACATAAAAAATGCGTGCACACACACACACACACACACACACACGTACATAAATAGAAGAGGAAGAAAAAGAACGAGTGCCGCCACTACTGAGAAATAGAAAAACAAATTCTACTACAATTCCAACCGCCCTTCTTTCTCATTTACCAGAGACAAACATCGTTTTCGATCTTTTTTTCTTTCTCTGTTTTTTTCTGTGCCACCCTCGCATTATTAACATTGTTCTTTGATTTTTCTTTCTCTTCTGTTCTAGCGTATGTACAAAAACGTGCAAGTCAATCATTATAACAACGCTACTAGTACAACGACTTCTTCTTCCTCTCCAACTTATACAAACCCAAAAGCTACTAGCTTGCCTGTACAAATAACTAGTGTCTTTTCTTCTTCTTCTTCTTCTTCTTCTTCTTCTTCTTCTTCTCCTCGATATAGTAGCAACATTTGTGACAGCGGCCTTTCGCTGCCTGTCTCGTACACAGCTTCAAATAAAATCATGTCATCATCATCATCATCGAAATTGAAATCAGATGTCGATCAACTTGATGATCTTGTTAAAGATTTACTCAACGAAGTAAATCGTCCGATTAGTAATAATATTAACAATAATGATAATAATAATAATAATAATACTCACCGATATTCATATCAACGACAGTTAAATAATGACGTTTCGAATTCAAAATTATCTTCATCAGCGATACTTAATGATGGAAAACGTTCTGAAGTTGAGATTTCATCAACTACTGTACCGCGTTCGAAAACAACTCGTGAAGAACGTATACGTATTAAACGTGGAACTCCAACGACGGAGATTCCTTCGACAGCAGCCACAACAAAATCTCAAATAGCACCATCATCGATTGATGAACAACTTATTGATTCATTATTAGAAAGTGTTCAAAATACTTTAAAAAAACGTGCACAAAAAACTCAATCTACTATAACAGCAGATATACCAATACAAAATCGGCGAACCTATAGCTCAAGTGCTGCCTATACTGATTCGATTCATCGTGTAAGTTCATCTTGATATTCGTTTGATATTTTATTTCATAATTAAAAAAAAAGAAAGTTTAAGTAAATTTCATTTAGTCATTCAAGGTAAACTAACATAAAAAGAAAAACGAACTGATAGAATAACATTAATTATTTTTATCGAAAACGTAAAATTTATTATCTTAACAAAAATTCTACCTTGATATAAGATTTGTCAATGCCAAAAAAAGAAAGAGAAAAAGTGTAACCACTTCAGCCAATGGTACTTATAAAAATTTTGTGTTTTATGACTTTGAAATATATCATTCAATTGAGTCTTAAGTGATATCAGTAGATTTATTACATTGAATTTTATATGAATAATTTACAAAAAACGTTTATCTTTTTCCTTTGTAATCATGATAGATGGATCCAAATCGAGGTCGATTTCCAATAAAACTCTATCGAACAGATAGTTCAACAAGTACATTATCATCAAAACGACCATATAGTCGACAAGATTATCGCGGTAAGACATAGACATTCTTCGTTTGATTTTTTCAATTAGAGAAAAAAAACAATATCCTAATTTTTTTCCCGTAAAGATGGTTACACATCAGCATCAACAGCAGCCATTCCGAACTGTTTTCGTGCAACATCAGAACCACCGCCTGATGGTCCTATTGAGTTACGTCGCATGGATCTAGTTCGTTCGCCATCACGTACATATGTTGATTCACATGGACCCAATGAATATTGTTACTATCCACGTTCAACATTATCATCAAGCGGTGTTCGTATGCGTGGTCCTGAGTATTCAGGCTATGAAACTGATACAGGCTTGATGACATCTCGTGTTTATCCTCCAAGATATTATCGTGTCCCACAACCACCGCCACCACCACAGCTAGCACCTGTATATCCTTATTATCGTTATCATGAATGCCCACGTACAATGCCTCATCCAGATGGTTATGATACAGATAGTGGTTTAGTAAGCAGTGGTCGATTACATATGACTCGTACGTTACCACCACGTATGGCTGTTATACCTGAAACTATTATTATTAATAATCGAATGGCATCAGCAGCGAATTTAAATCGAGGAGTGCCAGCTAATTATCGTAATAGTTCATGTTTTAATCAAGTAAATCGTTCTCACAATTTAACTGGCTACGAAACAGATTCGGGTATGAATACAAGACAATATCATACTGGATATCGACATGTACCTGTTGATATACAATATGGTAATAATGAATGGTCAGGAAATCAATCGACGTCAAGAGCTACTTCACAACAGCGCAACTTTGTTGATAGCAATCAATCTTATCGACAAGCACAAGAACAATTTCGTGGTGCATCGATACCTGTTTTTAGTCAACATTCAGAACAACAACAACAGCAAAGAACAGTAAGCATAATAATTTTCTATATTTTCTTCGTTGTCGCTCGTTTAATTACTATATCAACATGTAGAGATAAATAAATCATGTTCATATCAATCTAATACATTTGATTAATCTATATATCTTATCTAGACAACAATAACACCATCAGGATCATCATCATCCATAGTGAAAACAACTAAAAATGATATACCGATAAAACCAACTCTATTTCCGGGTTCAGTTGGTTTATCAAATCCATTGAGTGATTCTAAATCACAACAACAACTTCATCATCATCATCATCAGCAACAGCAACAACAAACATCTGAAATTGAAATAAAACGTAAAATTTCGAATGATAATGTAACAAAACGAGCACCTAGGCCACATGGAGCTATTATCGAGAGTACTGTATTACAAGCAGTCATTGATCCTGGTGTAACAGATACAAAAATAATATCGACTACAGTTGAGACTGTAAGATTTGCATCTACGGAATGACCAATATATATATATATATATATATGTCCTCGCTCGCTACCTTTTGCCATAGTTTTATATTTTGTTTGATGTGTTTCTAAAAATAAGAATAATATTCATTATTGATTGACTTTACTATTTCGATTTTAATAGATAAACAATGCAAATGTGGACAATCAAGCAGGAAAACTTCCATCAACACTGCCTACATTTCCAGTAAATAACCAATCTTGTATGTGTGTCTATTTAGAATTTTATGCTAGAAAGATCAAATTTGATTATTAATTTAGATAATGCAAACATTCAAACACGTATAGGAAATAAGTAGGAAATTATTTTATCAATGAACTTATCTTCTTTTCTTATCTTATGATTTTTTTCTTTTGTTTAGTTCATTACGAAATCAAGATGAAAGTTCACGAAGATCAAGCGTTTCTTCTATGACAGGTACGATAACGTGCGCAGAACAAGAAAATTTCATACATTTAATCTTCTAATAAAATGACAGATTACATGAGAACAATTATTAATTTAGAAAGTCTTGTTGCGTATAGGAGATATTCTTCTATTTGAGTAGCCGTAGGAAAATCTTGAGATGTATATCTACTTTTGTAAACCTAGCTAAGAAAACAAATGGAAAACACAATACTTCTTTGTTTCGCGCATTGAGTGACGTTTCTCCGCAGGCATATATTATGTAGTACAATAAATCACATAGTTCTGGCGGGTCAACTCAATCTTTAGCATGACTTACATAATCTATCCCTTTTAATCCATAAAAACAGTGCTATCAGCATGAAATCTTTTTTTAAATCTCATTTTTCAAGAATAGTAGCAGGAATTTTATCGGAAAAAAGAATACAAGGTTTTCATTTTATAGACTCTGATGTCCATCGTAATGGAGCTTATCAAGCACATAATGTAAGCCAATTCTGGTATAAAGAAAAACTGTCGCGAGAAGACGGTAAGTAGAAATATGTTCATCGTATATATTATACAAATTTATGATTTATTCATAGCGATAAATTTACTTAAAACAAAAAAACCTGGCACATTTCTTATCCGTGATAGTCAAGGGTTTCCGGGTTCATATGGTCTAGCTGTTAAAGTTGAAACCTTACCACCGGGTATTCATCCTAAACCAGGTTTGTTATCAAATTAACAATTAAAAAAGAAATAAAATAAAAATCTATTAAGGTGCTGATCCAAACACTGAACTTGTTCGACATTATCTTATTGAACGAATATCAACGGGACATGTTCGTTTGAAAGGTTGTCCTAATGAACCGGATTTTGGTATGTTTCGATACTATGTAAATTTTAAACCTAAATTCAATGTTTGCCGTATTTTAGTTAATCTATCAGCATTAGTCTATCAACATACAATAGCAGCACTTGCCTTGCCAACCAAACTTGTTCTACCAACAGTTGATATTGCTGCAGATTTTCATCCAACAGTAAATCATCAACAAGAAACTAGAAAAGTATCAATCAAAGATTTATTAGAAAAAGGAGCCGGTAAAATTATTATTTTTTTAAATTCTACAAAATACAGTCGTCGATAAAAAAAGAAAGTCTAATATTTCTATTCCTCATAGCTTGTAATGTTGTTTATTTAAATAATGTTGATGTCGAATCACTATCCGGTCAAATGGCTGTTGCTAAAGCTTTAAATAGCACATTTGAAAATGCTGAACGTTTACAAGCTACTATAGTTAATTTTAAAGTATCGAATACGGGTATTACATTAACAGATATCAAGAAGAAGTATGCATTTGTTTATTTTTTTAACTTGAATCAATGAAAAAAATGTTCGATTTTCTTTAGATTATTTTCAAGACGGCATTTTCCGAAAGAATATGTAACTTATTGTGGTGTTGATTATGAAACCGAACGTTTTTGGACATATCGATATAATGATATTGATATGTTAACACGAGCCAAGTAGATGAATTCTTGATTATTTTCTATTTCATAAATTTTTCTTTCTCGTTGTTTCAGATGTTTCGGTTTTGTATCAAAGAAAATCAATGGTACAAAATCTTCGCAACAGGAAAATGAATGTCATATATTTGCTGAAATCGATCTGACACAGCCAGCAACAGCTATCGTCAATTTTGTATCAAAAGTTATGATTGGCAGTATACCTGTTTAAAATGAAAGAAAGAAATGAGAAAAATCAATGAAGAAGAAGACGTATTTTTAAAATCAAACACTATTCTTTCTTTCATTTTTATTTGTATCAGTGTTTTTCCTATTAGAATTTTCTTATTCTACAGTTTTTCTTTTTGTAGTTGAACGTCAATTCAATTCAATTCAATTCTTTCGTTTTTCTCCTCTGATTGCTCTTTTCTTTCAACTTGCGCCCCTCTTCCTCGTCGATTTTCTTCTGTTTTGTTAATCTTAAGTGATAATATTCTTATTTATTATCGTTCTCGAAGAGATGCATAAAAGCATAACAAAATAGAATACGATCTATACCTTATAAAAACAAAACAGTGATGATGATGATAATAATGATCCTTGTTTTTTTGTTTGTTGGTGCTTGCTTTAATCTCTAATATATTTGTTTGTTTGTTTTTCGAGTATTAAAATGTATCATATTCTAGAAAGATAAGAATAAATCATGGAAATACCAACTGTTCATTTGGGTCATACAGATGTTAGAATCACCAGAATTGGTCTAGGCTCAATGCCATTGTCAATCTATGGCCGACCGATACAAGAAAATGCAATTAATGTTATTCATCGTACACTTGACCTTGGAATAACATTGATTGATACAGCAGATGCCTATTGTTTAGATGAAAACGATAAAAATTATAGTGAATTATTAATTTATGAAGCATTACGAACATATCAAGGACCAGCCAATATCAATCATATCATAATAGCTACTAAAGGTTTTGCAAATGGTTTCTCCTTATTTGTCTCATTTATCGTTGCATAGTCTATATTTCAGGAGGCCTTGTTCGTCCAGGTGGCGCATGGCAAACCGATTTAAATCCGTCTCGTCTTCGTCAAGCCATAAGAAAAAGTTACGAAAGTCTTGGAGGACAAAGCCCCATTCCATTATGGCAAATTCATAATTGCCCACAAGATGATAAATATACTTTAAAAGAAATTTTCGAACCCATACGTGAAGCTGTTGAGTTAAAATTAATTCAATATGTCGGCGTATCAAATTTCAGTGTTGAACAAATACAAGAAGCACAAACATATGTTGAAATTCAATCTGTACAAAATGTTTTCAGTCTATTCAAACGTCAAGCTGAAACAGATGGAGTTTTAAAATATTGTGAAGACAACGGTTTAACATTTCTAGCTTATTCGCCGATGGGTGGCCGGAGAAAACACAAAAAATTAAATAAAGAAAAATTACTTATAAATTTAGCACAAAAATATCAGTGTTCAACTTATTGTGTTGTTCTTGCATGGATTTTGTCAAAATCTAAATGTATTGTGCCAATACCTGGTGCTAGTAAAATTACATCTATTGAAGATTCAGTAAAAGCAATGTATCTTCATCTTGAGCAAGATGATATACAACTAATTAATAATTATAAATTCGCTTAGATTATTGATATAGAAAAATAAAAATTCGTTGTAGCAAACAAATAAAGAAAAATTATGGTAATGACTAAATGTCCCAAATGAATAGATTACATTGTCTAGCATTTGCCATCGGATTCATTCTCTAAGGACAATAGAAACTGTCATTATAGCTATTGTCGTAATTCCCTTAGTTTAGGAAATTTATTCATTGTTTTCGCTGATTTTTCTTCTCATCAGTCACATTATTTTGATATTTTCTTCTAGATTAATGACAAATATAATATCAGCAGGCATCGATACCGTAAATCGGCCACGATTATGTCGTTCTGATCATCAACCGAATCTCCTAGAATATATTGATACGACATTAACCGAGTCGTTTTCTCTAAATCTAACACTAATGAGAACAATATCGAACGGACATGATCAATTTGGTAATACAATTCTTGATCAATATTTACTTTATCTATTATGTCAAAAAATCAATCCAAATAGATCGAATAATTTAATAAATAATTTATATCGTCTATTACATCGATTAATTGTTTTGAATGGAAAAATTTCTAAAAGTTTTTTCGAATATTCAACTTCATCGAATAATCTATTAAATTATCAAAATGTGTTTCATAGTTATACAAATTTTATTTGGAATGAATTCGATGTTAATGTTCTACTTGAACTTGGTCAGTAAGAAAATCTAAAAATAACATCTTATTGATATTCAGAATAATTTGACTAGAAAGAAGAAATTAATTCGAATATTATATAAATGCAAATGTAACGAGGTTGTCAAATAATTGTATATTCAATTATTTAGATCAGAGTTTTGGTAACACCGTTAGACTAAATTAAATTTTTCTCACTGAACTGTAAAGAAACATATATCAGCGGGGGAGAAGAAGCGAACAATCATTAGATGATCGATGTTGGTCATTAGCCTTGGTTGTAATTATTTCTGTCGTTCACAAACCGCTTTGTGTAATACAACAGAAATATCGTTATGTCGGTTAAAGAAATATGACTGTCAAATGTTGTAGGGCATTAACTTCGCTAAACTAAATATAATGAAATCGTTTATTAACCAGAGTCGTAAATTGTCATGTTATTCAATTAGCATTTGGCAGATGAGCACGATTTTTTACATTGACTATTGTTTGTTGACCGAGATAAAACTCTAGAATAAGCACAACAGCAGTGATAATCTGCTAGTGATAATTAGAAACATCAGCTGGCATCGCAGCGGCTCTCTCAAAAAATATAGGAATTCCTATATAGGATAATAGGTCTAAAATATATAGGATCGCCCTCAACTATATAGGAAAAATATAGGATGACAATTCCAGAAAAAGATTTAGACACCGAAAAATCACTGCAACAGCATTGAAGATGATAATGCGTTGTTTTTGCACGTATATCTAATCAGCTAAATAAAAATATTACTGAGTTTTGAAAAGTAATGGAGCAGCAAGATTTTCTTAAAACTTAAAAAAACTAATTTATGTTCGATTTATTTTCACTATTGAACATACATGCACTTTAGGGCGTGGGCAGGTTTCTGAACAAAATACTCACACATTCACACCCACACCTTTTTGGTATTCCGTCTTTTAGAATTTCATAGTAAGCTACATCAAATTTCATCGACAGATTTCAAATTTCATTGAAAAATAAGCATCCGTTCAGGAGTTATAACGTTGTGAAGTTTTTTCAAATACTGCCAAGATTTTAGCAAAATTTCAAACCGTTATAACTCCTGAATGGATGCTTATTTTCGATGAAATTTGATGTAGCTTACTATGAAATTCTGAAAGGTGGAATACCAAAAAAGGTTAAAAACATTTGCCGGTTGGGCAAGCAAAAAAATTATTTTATTTTCGCAAACTACAATCACAAACTTTTGACCACAAAACCTCATTACTTAGCTCCAATATGACCCCTCATAAGTTCCATCTAGGCCTCATGCACTGACGCTGAGATCTAACATACCGAGAAATTCTGGATAAAGCACTGATACAAAGACAACTAATGCAAAGAGTGTACTATATACATTATCTAGATGAACCAATAGGAAATAAGCGCCATACAAATTGTTACTGACAATATTTAAATGATGTGTTGAACACTTATCAGGAGTTTTTTGAATTTTTTTAGAAGAATCTTCAATTTTTTCAAAAAAAAATAGGAATATAGGAAAAAAGCTCAAAATATAGTCTATTATAGGATAAATTTTTAAAATATAGGAAATACAGGATATATAGGACTGCTGCGAAGCCAGAACATCAGCAACTAATAACATTGAAAACTATGCCTACAAGGCTTCCCATTTTAAAACTCCGGGGGCCATCAGTTCGATTTGAATGCATCGTTTCCATTAGTCACTATGAGAATATTATCTATTTATTTTTCCAGGTTGCGTCCTATTAAAATATCGTCTACGTGATATATTCGATACAAATAACACTTTAGTGCAAGAGAAAATTCATGGTTATTTTCTTGAAATCATTGGCATGTATTATCTTTCAACAAATCATCGTGACTATTTTATCAATTCTCGCTCAGTAGATATGATATTTCCTTCTCCGGGACTTTATTCGTCGCTACCTCAAACTTGTCAACCAGATGAAAAACAAACATTTCACAAATTTCTCGATGCACTTTATGATAATGGCGAAATTAATTTCGATCTACATCAAATACGAAGTCTTTTAAAAAGTGAAGCTTATCGATTTTTAAACAAAAAGTTAGAAAACAAAAAAATCGATTTTATCAAATTTTTCGAAACAAATATTTGCTGTCGACAAAGAAATTCATGCCGAAAATTAAAATCTATATGTCGTTTATCCATTAAAATGCATATTAAACAATATCCTGCTGATATCAAACAATTATCAACATTGCCACTGATAAATGGTCAACTTGTTGAAACCTATTTAATTTATGAGAACGAATTCGGTTTTAAATCATAAGATTTTTTTCCCTGCTACATATCATTCCGTTTAGTTGTACATCAATGATAATTGTGAACAAGCGTACATAAGAAAATCGTTTTTTTCCTGTTCGATACGTATAACATTTATTTTTAATCATGCAAGATGCATAGTGTAATAAAATATTTTTAAATATAGAATACTGGTTTTTACTGGATATTGTATATAGTATTGCTGACTTTCATTTGAAATACAAGTGCATGGTGTAGAAAGAGCTCAGGTCAAAAATCATATTAATGAAAACAAAAGTTCAACCGATATACTATGATGCCTTATTCAATGTATCTATTTAGAAAAGATTGATTAGACATTAAATCCTTTATTTTATTTCTTTATCGTTGACGAGCAAATTCAATATTAAGATCAACTTTGACAAATTGTCGTTTGTACGCTTCTAGAGGTCCTTGCTCATTTGTACCGCGTGCATTAGCAACATACATAACATTATCTGTTAAATCGTAAACACCCACATGCAAATCACCTGTTTTAACGTATGCAGTAATATTTTTAATTGAGGATTCCGGTGTTATTTGTCCATATTGTTCCGTGATTGCAGTATACAATTTAAATTGACGTGATGGACATAGCCAATCCATACCAGAATAAATAGCGTTTGGAATACGTGGATGCCAATCGGCTAATGGTTGTAAGTTTTGGTCATCAAAAAAGTTGACCTTTGAATGTGAATATTGAATCATACGAGCTGTGCCCAAGTTTCCATCAGCTACACCAAGAATTAAATGGCATGTACGTTTCACATCAGCAATAAATGAAAGAGCATCATCAATTGTATCACTGTATTGTAATATATAACGTTCAACGAAGATGAACGGTAGACCACTCATACTTTCATCACCAAATGTATCATCAGGATATGAAACACCAATTTCAGATATACCAAGACGTTGTGATGACATACCAGTTAATGTTCCAATATAACCTTGGAATATATTTTAAAAATATGTCAGATATATAAACGAAGAAGAAAAGCAAATAAATCAAAACCTTCTTACCTGCCCAAGCAACATTAGCAAAGGGATGACCTAATTTTGATGTACCAGGATGATAAATAGTAACAACGGGATAATCTTGTAAACCAGCATCAACATCCCAATCTAACGCACGTAATTGCAAAGTTTTTCCTCCGAGAGTTGCATTACCCCAAAGACCATATAGTGAGCATCGACCTAGGAATCAAAATTTATTATTATTCTACTTCAACTCACAATAGATCTATTTTTTTAGTAAAACGATAGGTGGTTTAATTTCTAAAAATCAATATTTAGTCTATTTTTAAGTCACTCCTCTGGTCTGATAAGAAACTTATATTTGCTCTATTATCTTGAATTTGGAGAAGGCGTGTGTCCAGGTTTAAAATTATAGAACATAATTTTATATCTTACAAAATTTTTATGTATAGAATGTAAAGAAGTACCTCGCATACGTTGTCTCAAACTTGCTAGTTGTCTTCCTCCTCTTACAGCTCATGTCTGATGATCATTCTTCATATAAGAAAATATTAACTAAAGCCTGTAAAAACTGGAACACTTTATTACTGTGTAGAGAAGATTCATGACTACTGAATCTACCACTAGACAATATCGCCCAACAAAGATATAGAAATATGCCCTCGTCATCGTTTAAGATTTACCTCTTGTAATTTCACCAAGCATATGTAATCGTACGACTGTTTTAAAATCAATTTGTGCTCCATCAGCCACACCATGCATTTCATTATAGATTTCTTCATCAATATACTCTCTGACGAGTTCATTCTGTAGATCTAATGCGAACGCGAGACCTTTATCAGCGATTATATCTTCAAACCATTTAGGTAATTTAAGACTTTTCAAAGAATCGATAATTTGTTGCTCAAAATATTGCCAAGCACGAGGTATAACTTTATTAACTTCATCACGTAATAATGTACCATAAGCATAACCAAAATCGTAACCTGAATTACCATAAACATGAATCAAGTAGATTTGATCATCACCTGAACCAATCTGATAAAGTGTACCATTTTGAACTTTATTTATCAATTTTGGTTCACCTTGATCAATAGGATTCAAGTTTGGATCACCTTTTGATGTATCATTAGCACAAAATGCTCCAACATTTTTTATTGCATTGACTCTATGGCAAGAACTTGTTTGAGTAAAAAGAAATAATCCAATGAGACAATAATATAGACGACTCTGATCCAACATGCTTTCACTCTTTTACTCGTTAAAAATAATAGATTTGATTGATTATCGTTTCTGATTTGGTAAGATAGCGAAGAGTTGGTGAGAAACTAAGACAGATGGTCTTCTGTTAAATTTAAAAAGAGAAGAAAATACAATGTGAGAAACACCTGCATTCACGATGACAAGACATGCTTTGAATAACTACTGTAAAAGAATCTGGCACTTATGTAATACTAGCCAATAAAATAGAATATTATTCTTATAAATAATAAGGAGGATTAATCGGATAACAGGTTTGCATAGCTGAAAGAGATTTTGATAGAAAAAATAATCATTTTCTTTTTTAAATTGAAATTTTGGAAGAAAATGTTATGCAGAAGACGAAGTTGTTGAACAATTAGCTTCCTAAATAAAACTAAACACTTCCAAATATTGCATGACTTTTTATCTAACTGCACTAAGTTTTAGAGAAAATGGAATCGGCGACAATTCTAGATACAATGAAGCTTGGTGCAAAAACAAATCGTAGAGAATTCAGATCAAATTCAGGAAAGTGACTGTTCAAGAACTTGGATTCCTAGAGTATTCTTTCATCAGACGCTTTGAGGGAAATTGAAAAAAAATACTGTTCTTAATTGAAAAATTCTTTTAATTACTCTATTTTTTCGATTCATTATCGCTATTAATGTAAGGAAATATAATTCATATATCCAGTATATGTCCAAAATTCTGTTGATGGGTCGTACAATTGTGTACTACCCAAATACCCACCAGCAGCATCATTGCCGCCAGCAACTAAGAATTATCCATTGGTTAGTATTGTTGCGGTATGAGGGTGTGGGTGTGGGTATGTGTGTGATTGTTTCTAAATATTCACACCCACATGAGAAATTAAAAATCTCAACTAATACACATACACACATACTGAGCCATGGAAAATCACTGATTTATTGTGTTTAATAATTGGGTCATTGTTGTAGCATTTGACGTCACGGCACAAGCAGTCATCCTATTCCGCAATGTTGAACATTTCGGAACCAGTTCCGCCCCCGGAATCAGTTCCGTCGATTCCGGAATCAGGTCAAATATGAGCACTGTCCGATTCCGGAATTGGTTCGTCTGATTCCGAAATTAGTTCGTTCGATTCTGGAATTGGTTCCATGAGTGGAACTGGTTCCGGAATGTTCAACATTGCGGAATAGGATGTATTCTCATCAAAACAGAAAAAGATATACTTATAATCAGAGAATCGCATTTTAACAAACATGTTTATTAAAATTCAGTTGGATTATAGCTTCTCTGTTTGCATAATAAGAAAAACAGACAATGGGTAAAATATCAATATCTGTGAATTAGTATGACGATTAGTAACATGAACTACGTACGTTTTGCTTCGTCTTTTTATGTGATAGTCCTAGGGTATTAATGAACAAATCTGAAAGTATTTCATATTTTAAAAAGGTAGATACATCGTTTTCGTGATTGTATTTCAGCACTCCATTGATTTCAAGCTATGAGAAGAGATATATTTGATTTTTCAATTTAGATCACTTCCAGCAAGTTTTATTTCTTTGTTTTTTCCTAAAATATACAATCATTTAAGTGACTAGAAACTTCGCCTAGTCAATTGTCTTAATCGAATAATTACAGCGTTGTTTAGCTTCACGAAGTTTTGTATTTATAAGATCTGAGTAATATAAGTTGCGTTCGAATCAAATTCTGCTGAATCTTTTTATTCAAATTTTCGTTATAGAAAAAAAACTAAGGATACTAACTTGAGAGTGAAAAAGTTGATCATTTATAAATAGTAAGCAAGACGAAGGTTTTTTATCTGATTGTGTTATTCATTTTCATGAAAACTTGACAACTGCGAAAAGCCTATAACAAATTTCACATCCGTTGACCTTGAAGTTAAATAGTGTTACCACCAGTATTTTGTCTCATTTTAACAGCAACGATGTTTACATTCATACAATTCAGCATCAGTAAGTAAACATATTCGGCCTTTTATTAAAATGATTGACTATTAAATATTTATTGATTTTTAGACTATAAGGAATTTTCAATGTTTAATAAAAGTTATGAATTTAATCGTCAACTTTTTAATCATGTTTAAAGCAACGCCAAGCCTGACTGCATGAAATCGACTAAGTGAAAAATATGATCCATATTTTACTTTGCCCAAGTCAAATTTTGACGGGAGAAATCGGACAAAATTTGTAGCATATAGAGATCTTAATTTTAGTAAAATCGTTTCAACGAGCATCAGGCGAATTCCGTTCTTGAGATCATCGCTTCGCATCCCATTAAATATAGTCCTTTGCTCCAGTTACATTCTCAATCGAAACGATGAAACCATTTTACTCTATGAAAATAATATTTGACTTATCGATCATAAGCTATGATAAAAGTAAACACGTAGTATCGCGAGTCTAATAAATTGTGTTTTATACAATGATTTTTGTGACTACCGTTCTAAGCTTTAATTATGTATAGTTGGAATTTTAAACAAATTTTCTAGTTGATACTTATATGTGCCTATTGACAAAAGTATCGAAAGTTCACGGTATTCATATTGTATTTTGTTAAGCGAAATAACTTGTAACAGCCACCTTCAATAAATTCGTATATTACTCGATTTAAATCAGAATGATATCTGAAAACTATCGAAATAGATACTTCATCGTTGTCATCAGAAAAAAGCATTTCTTTTTATAAGAGTCAGCTTAAAACAATTGTGTCGATCACATACACTACACCTCGACCTATCGAAGTATGATGTTATTTGACTCAACATTATTCAATTGTAACTAATAAATCAGTGAGATCATTTTCAATAAAAATACCGATTATTGTCTCTTTAAAAAAAGAAATTAGCAGCTGTTTATGAATATCGAGATTGCTTCTATCATGAACACTTGATAGGTTTTGATGTTCTGGAACCTTTCTCTTCCCACATCGATAAGCAGTATGTTGCTTGATTGTAAATGTATTGAGTCGAACAGTTGAAAACAAATGTAATTCTATTACTTTTATGAATGCTTTATTCTTAATTATTTCAAAAATGAGTCAATGTCTTTTTTTCTTTTTATTTAAGGGAAAAGTGTTGCTCTGGCAGGTCGATATTACCATAAACCCGCTCGATTTCATCATCGCAAAATGTATTTGGTCAGCAAAGATCATTTACCTCTTGGTAAGTTGTAATAATCAATTTTTCTCGTTGAGATGCGGGGCACGATATTTCTTCTGTCCTTACGCGTTTCATTTTTTTCTGTTCTTTACGAGCCTTGGAGGGAGCGATGTGTCACTGCAGCCGCAATTTCGTGCTTTCCTATCCTCCAAGATAGGCATCGCTTTTCGGCCTTTTTCGGCTAAGATCAAAGTGTAGTATCTGTTCTCGTCTGTTTGAAAGCCGGCGCTGGTCCCATTGGGGTCAGGCTCTTTCAAGCGGATTTTTGGACATCGGTCAGGAGCACCCGGGTTCACTCGGACCTGTGCCACGGATCGTCTCGACACTGCAGTGCCGTCGAGTTCGGTCCACTCCCGTCTCCTTCGGGAAACGGGAACCCTCTTCTTATAAACTAAAAAATAAAATAAAATATCAAGTTTGATCTATTTTCACAAATTCGTTAAATACAAAAATGACATTTAGTAATGATTTAGTAATGAAACAAATGATTTCATCATTTGCCTGTTTAAATTTCGATTTATCTATAATGGCAATAGATCGAAAAATCATCATTTTATTTTGAAATCTTTCAAATTTAGATGCTCTAAAAGAATAAATTCTTGATGATATTAATAATACATTAACAAGTGCTCGATCTGTTTCATCAATCAATTCAACAACATCCAGATCTTTAAATTATGATGAACTTCCTCGAGATGATCAGCCATCATCATTTGATATATTAAAGATCTGTGATGCTCTATTCATCCGAATATTAGATTTATTACATTGATTAACACTAAACTATTGACTTCACATACATGTTTACAATGAAATAATTCTGTTTCCCATATTATTGATCTATTTGTTAAACATGACTATGGAACAATGAACTTGAACAAACACAACTATTCAAAAAATGTTTTGTTTTGTTTAAAGATAATGCCCGATCGATCTTTCAAATATATTCATTATGTTTATGAAATGGTTTATTTAAGGATTAGGAAGTAACCTGTAAGTTTTGCTGAGAACGATTTAATGATTTCTTGAAAAAATGAGCCAGTTAGATTCTTTACTTCTAGATAATAATTTTAAATTTATTAACAAAACAAATAGGAAAACATTCTTAATTTAGATCGAAGTATATTGGTAGCTAATCGTGCAATTGTGTTTCACATCATAGTGGTATCGAGATGAAACTCAGAATAGAACAAAATGCTTTTTCGTTGGCAGAGTTCTTTCCCGAAATCTGTGTTCAAAGTCACAGTTGGCTCGTTTACTGAGTATAAACATTTTGCGTCATATTTATTTTATTTCTGTTGTAGAATTTATGGAATTGTAACTAGGTAGCAACAGTAAAATATCCCATCAATGAAAAATATTGAATGCCAGACTCGATTTGAAGAACGACAACTTGTTTTCATTTCAAAATATACAGCGAATAAATCAATTTATTCGCCTCCATTTTATTCATCACCAACTGACTACAAGATACGAGCTCGACTTTAATTAAATGAGTAGGCAACTGTTAGACGTACACTTATGTGACTGTTTTTTATTCAAATGCGTAGACTAACAAATGATACGATTTTAAAGTTTCTCTAGAATTGCAATATCACATAAATGTTAAATCGAATAGTTTGCGAAGACTAAGCTCAGAAATTAATATTTCTAGTGGTACAGCTAAATTTGTTTCCATTGGCGATGATCCAACAAAAATCTCATCCATATGTTCGCGATGATACAATATTTATTAAAATCATGGTCGATGCTGGTGATATGTCAAAGGCCCCGATCCATATCCAACAATTATTGATTGAAAAAGAAGTAATGTTATCACAACAATCGATTG